CCCCCCGTTTTTGGTTTTTTTTTTTTTTTTTTTTTTTTTTTTTTAAATTATCCAGTGTAGTCTGCAGCATCCGCTTTGACTCTATCTTGTATCTTCGCTTAAATAAAGTGAATTCAGCATTTATGAGTGCACAACGTGTTCCATTTGAACTGATAAAGACGATCCTGCCAAGAAGTGGACCTTGCAGGAAGTGGTCAATCACCATTGGCACAATCACAACTATGGTAATCGAATCCAGAAATGACACGACAACGAGTACAGGAAACAAGATAAAGAGGACAGGGGTGGTTTCTTCTTCTTGGCTTTCTCTTGCGTCTGCTCTTGATTTCAACGACTCAGAGTTGAAACGTCAGGGTCCTAGAAAACAGAGAAGAAAAGACAATCGTGTGATTTGAAATCAGAAGTGAAATAATCTGATTGTTTTAAGATTGGGAACACAAGAGGACAAGGAATCTCAAAGGATGCCCTAAGTACCTTGAAATGAAAATGTTTGGATTAAAGGGAATGGGAAGTCAGGGATTTGGAATACAGTAACAGAGCAAAGGTAGAGTTAGCAAAATGTGCCAGAATTTGCGATACTTTGAATTTTGAGTCATTCTCGGATGTGGTCCATACAGAGAACTAAATGAGATATGGTCCACTTTAAACATTTGGTTCTTGTCACTGAGGCCATGGTGGTCAAACTCATTTTTGTTGTAGGCCACGTTGGAGTTAGGTCTTCTCTCGGAGGCCCTTATGGCAGTGAAACTACACAAATGTTTAATCGTCTCATCGCATTATTACATGTACACAACAAGTGAATGGATTACTAGTTTTGAAATCAGTCAACTATAATAATTTGTTCAGTTATTGCTCAAGGGAATAGCAACAGGGTCACTAAATAATTGCAACATCTCAAGGTTATTTATTACAGATGACAATTTAAACATTTTGGTACAGATAGTAGCAAGGCTCACGTAAGTTGACACGTATGATTTGCTTTCGCGGGCCACATAAAATGACGTGGCGGGCCGGATCTGGCCCGAGTTTGACTTAAGGCTTTTTCTCCTCATCGTATCATTTTTACGTGCCTGAATTTGCACACATCAACAAACGTTTCACTGTCCAGACTTGATGAATGAACGCGGAAACACCAAGGATTTATTGACAAATGAGGCTAGCTTCAAACATGGCAACACGGGCCTTTCCTGACTTTTTTTTTTTTTTTTTTAACACTAATAACAATGTGGGCAATGTGTGTGTCAATGAGATGGATAGAAAGGACAAATTTAATGCAGAGGGCAAGAAGTAATACAGGGTTTAGGCATTAAGTAATAACGTGGCGCAAGGGAAAATGTTCAACAGGTAGAACGTTGTGAACCGAAAACAGGAGCAATTAAAAAATGTTGGAAAGAAAGGCACCTGGGGAAAAACAGGAGACAAAGCGGGAATGAACAGTCGAAAGAAAAGACTGCAGGCGGAGGGAGCATGACAGGGGCAATTCATTCAGACATGACCCTCGAGTTTTATCTTTTTTGTTCATTTTGATTTGGGCAGGCTTTAAGGCATCTGACACGTTGCCGAAGATTATTCAAACTAAAATAATATTCTTATTAACCGCCAAGTCATTTCTGACCAAAATTACGATTTCAAGAAAAAAAAAAATCCCTCACTTGAAATATTTTTGCAGCAAAAACAGTACTTAGATGATGAAATCACATTTAATTTTGACAAATGAAAAAAAATCTCCATACTTAAAAGACCTTGTCATTTAGAAGAGGAGAAACATAAAGTGACGTGCAATATACCGTATTTCAGCCCAGTACTGTACATTTTATCTTGCCTGTCCATTTTCAAAAATTGAGATGATTAACTGCTTCAAAGAATTTTTGGGCTTTTTGGCAACCCTCCGCAGACAATCATGTTACCTTAAACGCAAGGTGGTAGGTGCATGGAACTCTGCCGAATGGGCGACAGAAAACCAACATTTTCCATGCAAAAATTAGAACGGAGTACGATAAGCCCGAACAAAATCTCCTCCAAGTCAGCAATGTTTACATGTGACTATCAGTCACATTCCAATAAGTGCATGCAATTCTACATTATCAATATTCCACTGTTTCTTTCTGACATTATATGATTTAGGGGTTAAATGTATTCGTCACAGTTTTTCACATTATTTACCGTCCTGACACAGCTATCACTACCATACTTTTAGACACCTCATGGTGGCAATCAACTACATCGCCGTTTACTCTGCACTGCAGAGGGATTTACATGCGGAGTGATAAGCTCAAAACCTGATCACATCGTATCTAAATTAGATGTGAAAAATACCCATTTGCAAAAGAGCAAGATACAAACTTTTGGGTCAGAGGCAGACAAGTATACTACAACCATTGGATGTCAATCATTTACTCTTTTGAGTCATCTCATTGTGAGCTCCAGGAGACTGTCAGATCTTAAAATTTCTCCACTCGCCCCTACGAGGCTGTCCTTCATCTGCTGGTAGAGGCATTGGAGACACGGAGAAGGAGAGAAAGAATCAGCAGCAGAGACAACAAACTAGAAAACTGTGAAACATCCAGACAGAGGGAAATCAAGAGTGAATCGCAGAGGGAGAATGAGAAACACAGCAGGAGGGGCAAAGAGGGAGATGCATTCACCGACACAGATGGCAGGAAAGAATGAAGCCAGGCATGAGGCTTGATAGAAAAATAGTGATGGTATTTTAAGGCACGGAGGAAGGACAGGTTACAAGGTTATGGTGGGGCCACGGGGATAACACACATGGCTTTTCACAAATACTTAAACACATCCTTGTGTGGAAATGAACTGTTTTCCAATTTTGGCTAACCTTGTGGGAGGCTGCACTGTTGCCCTTGCTTAAGGCGGTTCAACCTCGCACATTATATCTCTCAAATGCATTCACAGTCCTGCAGGCTTTTGGGAACTGGCCCTGAGTTTTTCTGTTTTTTTTTGTGCACACACAGATTTCCACTCCACTTCTAAGAACATTACATTGACCTCCCAGGGGGAACTTTGAACCCCTTTAACATGAGGGACTACACAGAGCAAGCTGTTCATTGGCCCCCATTGGAGATTTGGTAAAAGGATTGCTGTCCGACAATTCAACACATTTAAATCATACTCTGAACAGATGTCCCGTTGGGTTGACTGGTCTTCAATGCCAAACAATTAAGTCAATTAATTATGTGACAATAAGCTTATACTATAATCTCTGATCCACATATTATAATATACAGGCAGATTTTAATGATGATTTATAATACTGTGTGGGACACGCGCACACACACACACACACACATATACATATCCATCTATTTTCTAATCCGCTTATCCTCACGAGGGTCGTGGGCATGCTGGAGCCTATCCCAGCTGTCTTCGGGCAGTAGGCGGGGGGCACCCTGAACTGGTTGCCAGCCAATGGCAGGGCACACAGACAAACAACCATTAACACTCACAATCACACCGAGGGACAATTTTGAGTGTTCCATTAACCTGCCATGCATGTTTTTGGAATGTGGGAGGAAACCAGAGTACCCGGAGAAAACCCGTGCAAGCACGGGGAAAACATGTAAACTCCACACAGGCTGGATAGATATGTAATTATTTGATGATTAATCAGATTTCGGTAACAAAAACAGGTTTGGGCTACATCAACATTTTTTTCGGTTCATGGACCAAATCACCAATCATTTTACCAAAACAATCAATTGACTTAAAAACATGAAGTGAAGATTCTAAAGATAATTTCCCCTTTGTATTGAATCAGTCGAAGTCCTACTCAGTCATTCAAGCTCTTGATAATAATTATCACAAGACCTACCTTAGAATAAAAAGAGAAAACAAAACACAATGCTTACGTTCCCTAAACACCAAAACAATAACAATCTATGGAAACCAAAACTAACTAAAATACCACAATATATGTGTTCTCAATGCTGGCGCTCCTTTCTGACAACTGAGGCCCTGTAATGGGGTTTCTCTTCTTATCTGTCACATGCTGTGTTCTTCAGCCACTCTCACTAGGAAGCTCCCTCTGATCAGATCAATGTTTCCTGTCTCTGCAATGCAGCAAGCAGTGAAATGTATCACAGGCTCATTTTATACCCCGAGAAACCTAAATGTCTCCCTTCAGACACATTTAAGCGCCACTCCTCCATATGGTTTGCCCTAGAAGTGCCAAAGAGCGAATGTGGCAGCAAAGCAAATCAAGGTACGCAAAGGGACACCCGTCACTTGTTTGAGGTGCAGAAAATAATAAAATAATTATTGTACTCGTCTCGAGTGCGCAGACGGCTCACTGGATGTTAGTTAGAATGAAAGTATTCAGCCAAGTTTGGGTTAGAAGAGGCTTCGGTCAATCAATAAACTCCAGTAGTTGTTTGGTGCAAAACAGTGCACAGTTACTCAGTAAAATGGGATTGAGGTGTCTTTCTTTTTTTTTTTTTTTTTTTTTTGACAATGGCCTTTTTTTTTTTTTTTAATGAAGAGAAAATCTCATCACAGCGCGAACTCAATGAAAGATCTACCTGAAATTCTAGCCTGATGTATTTGTTATAAACACCTAAGGCCAATTTACTTGTGCAGACTTCCCTGTGCATGGTTTCAAATGTGAAAAAGATATGTTTTGGTTTGCCATCCAATTAGTCTTAAAAAAATGGGGGGAGGGCAGTGCATATTTTCTCATGATATAATCCCAGACTGCATGACTGTATATAAGGGTGTCTCGGTCAATTAACTGTTCTAATTGAGAGAGCTCATGAAGGTCAAAACTTTCCCTGAGCTAGATGGCTATAGCGTTATCTCCCCTCTGCCCTGTGTTAGTATCATCGGCTCAATGACACTTCATTTCCACCCACTCATAGAAGCTAATTGAATGACTAACCAGACCCTGATAGCAGATTTCAACTTCAGCTTTTTAAGCCTGACGTGTGAAATGGCGTGTCCGTTTATTCATTCTAATTTCCTGAGCAGATTGCAGTTGCAGTGCAAGTCTGCCGGAGCGAGCGACTTGAGTTCAGTGAAATTCTGCTTTTGTGAATTTCTTTTTTTTCTAGAAGATACAACTGATCAAATTTACAGGAAGATACGCGCTGAGTGCTTATTTCAGAGTTTGTTGTTTGAGGATGTGCATCCTGGGAATAAGTCAGTCATCATAAAGTTTTATTAGCTTTAGAATAGCCTGTTCTCCCCATGATTAAGTTGCTTAATAGTACAGTAATATTCGTCTTGCACAGGGCTGTTATCAAGGACACATTTTTAACGGTGGCCCAGAGGCAAGATGAGTTTTTTTTTCTTCTTCTTAACCTCTGACACAATCATTTGTGCTCTGCGATCCAAATTTACGCAGTTTAAGTTTGCAAAAAAGCATTGTAAGCTTTACAAAATGTGACTGTCAAACATTTCACAATCTTCATATCATGAAAATGAAACCAACTGAACCATTATTGCATCATATATCAGAATCTATCTGTGCAACTTTGGACTCATTCTGCTATGGCGGGTCACCTATGTATCGCCAAAAACATTCATGTGGCTATCTTGACTTGCATATGAACTTCAGTGACATCCCACTTGTGATGTTCGCCGACATTTTGCAGCCATAATAGCGTGATTTTTGAGATCACACACTGATGTTGGACAAGCAGGCGATTGCCAGATGGAAAAGAGTGATTAGTCACCCCAGGGAACGGGTGTCCCTCCTCTCGAGTCCGGTGGCGCCGTGCTTGACACAACAGTCAACACTGCGCATCGCACTTTGTGATGTATGGCTTGGACGCAGCTGCTCAACCATGGAAACCCATTCCATGAAGCCCCCTATGCGTTGCTCTTCAAGTAAAACGACTTCTAGAACTCTGTGGCAGAAGGTTGGCAACCTCTGCACACTATGCATCATTAGCCTTTAGTCATTTGTACGCCATGGAACATTTTCCTTTTGATAAAATGCGACGACATACCGGCGATTTGAATATCTCAGCTTTCGTGAGGCATGGCTGAGTCAAACATCTTGTCCAAGACCTTTTTTCGTTCATGTGACTCACTGTCACAATCGCGCCTTTCCGCTCCGCTCTTTTAAATGAACATACTTCATTCAAATCACAGTAAATACGTTTCTTGTTGTCGTTGTTGCATGGCTGTTTTTAGTTTCATCAAAGCCAGCCAGCTTTTTAATCACTGTACGGTAGTTTAAATCCCACCACCACCGTTTTCAGCTAGCTACTGTCTATCACTCATGGCAGATTTCCCTTTCGCATTGTTTGTGTGGCGTATTCCATATTGGTTACAGTGCTTCTGCTCCTATTATACATTATTACCCTGGAGAGGTTCACTTAGACTCTGACTGATTCTAAGGAAAATAGGCCAAATTTATACAGCAATCACTTGAGGGAGCGGAACCCAAAGCGTGAGTCGAAATTGTCATCAAAACGCGCACACAGACAGGCTGAAACTTGAGCAGTGTATTTGCCTCGTTATTTCCAGTAGTGCGAAGTTAGCAAGTATGAATACTTTGTACTGTATTACGGTAAAGAAGTATATACAGTATGATTACTTTTGAATCAGTGTATAGTTTGTTTATTTCTTTCTCCAAATAAAACGGGGGGGGGGGGGACAGACTCATTTTCTGATTTTGGATTTTGTGCGTTGAACATTTCATTTGCTTTGGATATTGTCATCGGCCGCGAGTTGCTGGACTTGGCGTCTTGTGAGGAAGAAGGAAATGGCTGTAAATAAAAACAATAATGCGTTACCTGATGCCACATATTATATAAAGTGATGGCAAAAGTATTTTCCAAACCCATTTTTTTTTTCCGTCATAGCCCCACTCGGTAAATATTGGAGATGACTGGCGCGCATAGAGTAAGGGACATTTTTTCTTCTTTGTTTTTGGGCTTGGTCTCTCATCGGGAAATGCTGCGACAGCTCCGAGATATTGCCTATATGGTGAGGTGCGGCATGTGGGTCATGACGTGACTTCGAGGTGACCCTACACGGCGCACACACACACACACACACACACACACACACACACACACACACACACACACACACACACACACACACACACACACACACACAGGACTCGCTCTCATGAAGGCCTGAGTTCTGACAGCTGAAAATATTGGTAAAGCATGCCAACTTCTCTCGAAACAAAGACATATGTGTCCAAACACGTCACGATCTATCAAATTACAAAGCGGATAATACTTCACTTTCTGAGACTGGATACCAATAAAACGAGGGTGTAATACATGAGTACAGAAAAAAGAAAACCAATTGCCTTTGAAGGGCGCTCATTGTGAGTGGTGGAGGTCAGGAAGTGTTTTTTTTTTTTTTTTTTTTAACACAGCTTTGTGTACTACTGTGCCTGTGTGCTTTGTACCCACTGATTATTTCATAGGTAGCATCAATTGAACGTATACTAGAGAAGTATAATGTAATTCATAACAATCTAATTAATGTGTAAATCACCCGAAGAATTTGCACAAAATAATTGATCACGAAATGCTTGTTCTACCAAAGGCTACAATATATGACTGTGAATGTACTCATCAAATTGTGTCTTTCTTTCCTCCAAGCTCCCTTCTTTCAATACGGCTTATTTCGATCATTCTCTTTCACACTCGCTCAGCTTCTACTATTCCCTTTAGCTTGATATGCATTTCACACTCTCAAAAATATCTTATTTTCCCCCCCCCACTCTCCATTTCTTGCTGTAAGACTCTTCCTCATTTCTTTATCCTATATCCATTCTTTCCCTGTGAACTGCTTTTTGCCCCCAGCTGCTTGCCTCCCCTCGCGATGCTCCTTGTCCGTTGGCTCTCTACCTGCCAGTTCCTTGGGGGAAGTGGGTTCTTTGACGACAGATGGCGGTCTGTTTTTCATCTCAATGGCCACCCTGGAGGCGAAGCGGGCTTTGTTGGGTGAAAGCGACTCCTCATTGGCCGTAAAGTCAGTCCGTGTTTTTATGTTCCTCCCACCGGCGTCCTCCACAACCAATGCAACAGTGTCTCTCAGGGTGTTACTCGGTGACAGGGCCCCAGAAGGACCCACCGCTTCTTCGTCCTGACTGTCAGTCACTTTTGATGCAGAGTGAGGCAGGACTTGGGCCTGACCTCCACCCCCTTGACCATTGCTCTGCTGTCTTGGCACGGTTGTAGAAATGGCTGATTTTCCATGAGCTGTCCCTTGCTGGCTATAAACCTTGTATCTTATCATCAGGATAATAATAAAAACCAAAACAGACGCCACGATAATTCCGCCGATGATGATGATCATAGTTCCTCCCAAGAAGTGACTGTGTAATGCCTGACACTGGCTGAATTCCGTGTCTGTCGTGAATGACAAGCAGCCCAGAGGACGTGTTGCAGTCAGTGAGGTGACAACATCGTCAAACACGGCAAGGACGCACAGGTCATAGCTTCTCCCGGCAGCAAGGTCACGAACCAGGAAGTCATTGGTGCTGGAGGGAATCATCCTAGAAAAGCAGAGACATCACAGAAAAAAAAAACAGGAGTGTAAGACACGAAACAAGCAGATGTCGTTGAACACCAACGGTATTTTAAAACAGCCTTTGTTGTTGAAATCCAATCATCACAGCTTCATTTCAAGTCTGTTTTCTCTGAGCTAAAAATTTCAATATCAACAGAGTGAAAAATGTCTTGTCGATTGAGCTTGGCCGGGAACAAAAGTGATACATTCATCGCATACATTTTTTACAAAACACAATCTGCAATATGTATTCCTGGAATGACGGATTATGGATGAACATTTTACCCACATCATCATCTAACACAGGGTAGTTTTGCAAGAGGACCTCAAAGGAAGTGGAACAGTGTGAGGAAGCAAAACAAAATGCATACTTCGTCGGCTAATTTCAGCTATGTTGAAAATTAATAGATTGTTTTAAATCACACCCTAAAAAAAGACATTAGGATAATGTTTACTTGAATTGCTTTCCTGTGTTCTCCTCTGTGTTCTGTATGTTTGCGGAAATAACATTCTTTTATTGTCTACGCAAGCTATTTTCTCCGGTAATCAAGCCGCCTGTGGCATCTAATAAATGCCAATTACTTTCCAGCCAGTGCATGAACTTCGCTCACTTTCATTCATCACCAGTTTCTAAATCAAAAAGAAACACAAATGATATTTTAAAAGTTCTATACACAATTTACTGTCAGCTCATGTCTGAAATTGAACACCCATCAAGACTCCGACCCGTTCCAGTGGGCTTCTGACCAGCGAATTTGTAGCGTTGTCTGTCCTGGTCTTTTGTCTTGTAATTGAGTACTGCAACTGTTTGTATTGTCTGATTTATGATGTTGACCTATTTGGTTCTTATTTCTGTCATTGTGGTTTTATATGTCTCACTGTGACATTTTTGTGTGTGTGTGTGTGTGTGTGTGTGTGTGTGTGTGTGTGTGTGTGTGTGTGTGTGTGTGTGTGTGTATGCATATACAACAGGAGTGCAGTTGTCCTGAGTGTCTGTGGTCACAAATGACATCGACAGATGCTAATCAGGCATCAGTGCTCTCACTCTGATCGCACATCATTATTGCAAGAAGAGCGACAGGTTCGTTAGGCATCCTCGTTATTAACGCAGTATCACAGGGCCAAATCCTGTGTACGCATTTTCCGGTGGAGAGAGTGACTGACATTTCCCTTCTCACAGCCTGTTAATGTCTGTCCATGAGCTTGACCTTTTCAGGCTATCTGCATTCAGTAAGGTTGGTTGATGGGAAGAAGCATTGTTAGTTAGTACTGTCCGTCAATCAACTGTAGGGCACTCAAAATGCTGACACATGCACGCACGCACGTACACACACACACACACACACACACACACACACACACACACACACACACACCACATGTCATGCTGCTACATTCAGAGCCCGGGGTTGTGACTGTTGATCTAAAAAGAACGTCAAGTGAATATTTATATTAATGCACTCTGTCTGTTTTTAAAATATTAATGTGCCAATTATTCATCAAGCGCAAGCAGGCCAGGACAGCGAAGGGTAAAGGTGTGATGGCAAAGTCACTACAGCAGACAAACATTGTGCATTCAGCTCCACACGCTGCACCATTTGAGCAAAAATAAATAAATAAAACCTTGAAACCAGATGTCAGCAACCAGAAGAAAATGGTTTTTGTTATTCTACATCATTAAATACTTAAAAAAAAAAACTAGAACAAATATCGCAAGATCATTGTCAGGTCAGTGTTGATTGTGCAGTATCCACAGAGATGCAATCTTTACTTCAGAAAACATGAATCCTGTAATTAATAATTCAGTGTAGTCATCTTGAAATGGAGGAATGTCCCCCTTCCTGTTGGGCTCTATCCAAAGCCCTGGAAGAAAAGTCTCAGCGCTTGGAAACTAAGGAGGGACATTTTTGGAAAGTTATTTAGGGCGCAGCGAGCAAAACAACTCTTGGTGGTTGAGGGTACTGTATATAAATGACATGCAAAAAAGTCAATTTGGATATCAACCCGAGTCTGCCAAAAAGACTTGAGAAACTTATTCAATATGAACACAGGCGACAATACAACAACATGAGATGAGGGAAGAAAAATGGAACTACAAAAGCAAAATAAATAAATAAATAAAATAAATGGCCGACAAAGGCAAACACGCTGCAGATGGCGAATTTCTACAAACACATGCAAAACCAAAAACACACAAACACATTAAAAAATGCTGCAGGAGAAAAATGCTACAAACAGAAACAAAGTGAAAGCACCAACTTACAAGTTGAATGAAGTGCAGCGTATTTTATTGCCATGAATTGTACAATGATGATATTTTATATGAAGTTAATGAATCAATCAGACAAACATTTCTTACTCCGCTGTGTTTTTCATGAGGAAAAACACACACGTCGTGCTCTGCTTTTCATCTTTGATAAATACACTGGAATGGAAATGCTGAAGAAGAAATGATCACACGTCTGCCTTGTTATTTATTGAACATCTTTGTCAGTGAACAAAAAAACTATTCCTCTGCCCCAAAAAATAAGTAGGATCACACACATCGCTGGAATATCCGTCATAGCTTAAAAGATTGTTGACTTTTCAATGATTAAAAAAAAAAAAGTTATTAGATCTGGGGCAAAAAAAAAAGTGCTCGCCCAAAATTCTGACAACCCCCAATAAATAAATAAATAATATTGAATAAAATAAAATGAATGCATCCTGTTCCAGGCTGGCATGGAATTGGCTGGCATCGAAAACATTTGGTAAATTTAATATTTTTTTCACAAATCCAAAGTCTTGAAAAAAGCTTGCTCACAATATTAATGGTTGAATTGTCAGATTCTTTCAGATGCGTTCCAATATTGATAATTGTGCGAACGGTAGCTTTTGTTTGAAGGTAATTCTCATACGACAGTTCAACGTTTTTTCACTGCTTCAAAATAATGAGTGCAATGACAACCTGCCATTTTAGGAATCTAAATATGTAGACATTTATATACATTTCTTATTTTAAGGATGTCATTAAAAAAATAGCAAGAGGTAGAGCAGATTTTCATGACAATCCTATAATGAGGCAGGGGAATGGCTGTATGTGTCCTTTCTGGAGCAAGGAAATAACATCCCTCTGTGTTAGACTGTGGTCAAAAATGACATGACCGCATGAAGGCGGACTACGGGGGACAGAGACGGCTGCCATAAAAGCATATTTCATATTGCCTGGGTGGCAAGATGTAATGGAGATGGACATATTGGATTAATTAAATTAAACTAATTTCCAAAATCTACAAATACCATCACGAGGGAAAAAGGCATGGCTTAATTTTCAACACTGCACATGTGAAGATAAGATAAGCAGGAATCAGGAAAAAAAAAAGGATTTAGAAATGCATGACTCACACTTACCCTCACTGAGGGTAAGGACAAATTTGATTCGATTGTCGGAATGAGATCAAGTCAGCATTAATCCCTAGTGTTAATAATGTCTTCAACAACAAGCCTTAACGTTTAACATTCACAGATGGATATATAAGTAATCCGGTCTAATAATAAGAGCGATACCGGATTTATAATGCCTTATCCTTGTGACTGAGTCACCCCCACTTTGTGAAGGAAAAATAAAAAATCCAAACACAGTATTTGGTTGAATGCTATCATGGAGGCAGCACGAGGATGGATTGTTAATGACTTTTGGGAAATGTTTATATTAAAAAAAAATCACCGATTTACTTTTTTCACAATTTGAGGCCATGTTCATTTGTTTAATTGGGAAATATATTACTCTTATTGGACAATTTGAGGCAACGCAATCTTTCTGGCAACATTCATCAAATACCTTTTCAACTTTAATCTACATTTGAGAAAAATGAGAGACACCTGAATAAACACACACACACACACACACACACACACACACACACACACACACACACACACACACCAAAAACATGCCTGACAAGTTAATGGAACACTCTAAATTGTCCGAAGGTGTGATTTTGAGTGTGAATGATTGTTCGTCTATGTGTGCCCTGTTATTGGCTTGTAACCGATTTAGGGTGTCCTACTGCCGCTCCAGCATGCCCGCGACCCGTGTGAGGAGATGTGCATTAGAAAATTGATAGATGGATTAATGTTGAGTATACATATATATCGTTGGTGTCAGGAGGAATCCACGTTCTCCCAAAATCAGCATTTTTCAGAAGACCCCAAAAATGACATTGTGTTTGGCTTGGCAAGTTCCACTATTTTCTGTGCAGGTCACAATTTTTCCACCTTGGTGGATGTCTGCGCTCCACTGAGTGACCAATGGTTTGTTTGCTGCAGGGCATTACTACCAGGCTTCATCAATGTTCTGCCCCCTTTCACTGTCATAAAGTGTGTCTGTGGGGAAATAAATAGCGGCCAGGATTCGAATTGCTCACTTCCCTCTACCTCAGTTTTCCCTTCCATTCCTTCCCCGAACAAACAGGAACAGATAATCTGGTCAGAGATTATTGTGAGATTAGTTGGGTCTGAGGTAGGTTCTGTGTTCGCACTATCATGTGGCGAGAGCCAGAATGTGAAGCATGAGAATTGAGAGGTTGGAGGGGGTTACAGGGACTGACTGTCGGATGACAAACGAACAGTTGGCCAGTTCAAGTCAACTACAAAGAAATAGACTGACAGATGAGACAAATACAATCACAAACAGGGAGGGGGGGGGGGTGCACAGACTGACATGCGGCCCAATCTGCACATGGCTGAGAGGTTGTTGAGCAGTCTGACTAATATTTATCTACAGACTGCAGTTGAAAAAGCTCCTGCACTGGTTATCTATCATGTTTTTTCTATAACCCAAAGAGCTCTCTGTCATTTTTCAGGTCGTGCTTCATGTGAAAACGCAAGCCACAAGCATTTAGCTTCCATTTCTTCTATGCATTTTTAAAGAGAATGTGCCATTTTGTAAATACAGTATGTTTCATATTTGATGATTTTGTTTTTTATGATGGCATACAGGACTCA